TCCACACAGCCGTCTGGGAGAATGCGTTATGATTCTCGCTTGCATTCGTTAACTGTGTTGCCTCCAGAAGTTTCCTCTGTTCCTCCTGTGTTTTCATAAAGATTTGTTCAACGCGTTTTTTGTTGTTCCAACAACTCTTTTTAAATTCTCCTCACTTTCAAGTTGTCGTTGAAGTTGTTGCTTTTGCAACGCGAGACTTTGTTCCATTTGAAATTTGAACAATTGAATAAGAGACTCTCTTAATTCTGCGTCCATGGTACGAATTCAATTTACGCACCCTACAGTTTACACTTGTATTAAACAAATCAGTTTTCCCAAGGCTTGCTTACTAAAATTAGTTTGCTCAACTAATACACAAACAAGAAATATGTATTTCTCGTAAAAAACAAAAGAAATACGTCAATTTAAGGAGTGTCGACTAATGGGAAAGTCAAAAAATTTTTTCCAACCTCTTTGTGGTTTTGCATAAATATGACTCGAATTTTTAACAGTCTTTGTTAAGCACAAATGACTTACGCGAATATATATTTTCACTCGACAAATCATTTAACTTTGAAGAGAGGAAAAAAAAATCTTACCGTGACAAAAAAACTCTGGTTTCTTGTAAAGAAACAAAAAACAGTGAACCTCTTTTTTGAAACCCTTCGTGTCAGTATTTTCAACTATAATTGACAATATTATTCGCGTTCTCACGCTGTAGACTTTTGGTAGCAAATTTTTGGTTGTTTCTAATAATTTTTTTTTTTTTTACGTTGCCAAATTACTATTGTAGTAACTAATTTGCTATTAATCCTTGCGTATCCACATATCTGTTTGAAATGACGAAGGTGTTTTGCCGTAAAAATCTTGCGAATCCTTGTATTTCAATCACTTTAGGTGATTGACTGCAGTGATATTGTTTCAATTCCGACGTTAATCTGTTGTGTCGTGGCACAATAGTAAAAATAAGAAAATCAAGTCGAAGTTGGTTTAAAGAACAAGTGTATTTAACATCACAGATACAAAGGTAGGAAACGGGTACTACTCAGCTAGGCAGTTGTAGTACTGTCGCTGCTTACACCGGGTAGGTATTACTGGCACTATATATAGTGAGAACCAGTGTAATTCCCTTGTGTTAGAGGCCGGTGCAACATTAATAATTGTAAATTTTGAAATCAAGATAGAAATAAAGGTAGATATCTGATAATTCTTATGTTTAAAAAGGGCTGTGTAACTCCATAGTGTGACCTATCTGTGAGTCAACAGTAAATCATCAATTATTAAGATATAAAGTAGGGATGTGGCTTATCCAGTGGGAGGTAACCTATCCGCAAGTATATACGGTAGTTTTTGTTGTAGGAAAGTCTTGCAAATTCTCTTCTTTGTTTAACAAACAATTTTTTCTGATAAAATGATAAATTTTGATATTCTTACAATTCCTCTTATAAAATTTGTCTTATTCAGTTCCTGACCAACTGACAAAATCTCAATACATAACTGAGTGACAGAATTTGCTAAAATTTTAGATAAAAAATTTAAAAATTAATTGCTTAATCATCAAGGGCTTTTAGGCTTCTTTCTTTTTTTTCTTTTTTCTACCACCAAAAAAAGTATATGAAGATAGTGTAATGGTTATTGGTGCTGAAAGTGAAATTGATGAACTAAGTTCAAATTCTAGATTAGTCTGTTGTTTACTTTCATAGAAACACCATTGGGAGAGGTATAAATCTTTATCTCTTGAGCTGTGAATTAGATAGCAGAGTAGACTGGACTCTCTAGACTTGGATGAAAACCAGTCTAACAGAAGGAAAACTAAGTCCATGAAGAAGGAAATGAGAGACCATTCCACTAACTTTCCTAAAAAGTCATGGTAATTTACAGATAATAATAAGAATCTGTGGAGAGTCATGATCTCCTCCTACATTCTGAAAAGATATGACATTAAAAAAATATTATTCATGCAAAAAAAAATGACTAAAGTGGAATCATGGTATAGTCAGTGGGCAGTGACAAAAAAAAAAGAAGCCAAATTTATTTTGCCAACCCATCCTGTATTCAAATGCAGTTATCAGTAGAGCTTTATACAGCTTTGATTATTATTTAATTTTTAACTATCTTCACCTGTTATCAACATTTTGTTACTAATCATTGAAAGTTTCAACATATTTGCTTAATAAATCCTGTAATATTATAATATCTATCAACATGACTTGACCAAAGTCAGCTATGGTTAGAGTGATCAGAGGATAGCTCTCTCTTATTCAGTGTCTAATCACATGACAAAACATACATAATCATATGGACATATAGGTACATGTCATCTACTGATTACACTGGCCTGCGTTAAATTTTTTTTTACAAAGGTCAAAGTTTTATCAAGTGATATATGATTTCCATTTTATGCTGAATTCAAAAATACCATTCACTGTTTGGTCAGGTCTGGTTTTTAAGATGTACATGAATACTTCACAAAAAGCTGTACACAATAATAACACTTATTCAAAAGCCTGTGGACTCTACTTGTCACAGCTGATCGTGGGCGCCTGATGTTTAGTATAGCATATAATGTTGTATGTATACCTAACTACAATGTACCACCCTAATCACTAACACTCACATATCTAAAGGGAGCAGGGCTTATCCCTCAGCTTAAAATGATTTTAATGTACTATGCCAAGTGTTAACAACAAGCTGAGTGCTGATTTATTTTTTTCTCTTTTCAACTTGACATTTGTATTCCTGTAAGAATGGATTGCAAGTTTAAGAATCATCCTGGCAGGTTCTGTTATATCTGCTGTAATGTAACTGTCAAGCAAAAATCACTGACTTTGTGAAGAAGGCATATCGCAATTACTCTGGAGTCAAACTAAGTGATCAGGATAAGCCATTAGCTCCCCACATTTGCTGTAAAACATGTGTGGAGAACTTGAGGGATTGGAGGAATGGTAAAAGAAAGAGTCTGCCATTCCAGTGATCTGGAGGGAAGGAGAAGATCACATTACGGACTCTGCTATTTCTGTAGGATAAATCTAAAAGGAATAAATTGCAAGAACAAGCACCATCAATATTCAATATTCCTTCTGCCATAAGACCAATCCTTCATGGCCCAGACCTTTCTGTTCCTGAGCCAAATGGTAACATGGAATATAGCTCTGATTCCGAACATAGTGACATGACTGTTGTAGCTGGGGATAACGCTTACAAGCCAGAAGAGGACGACCAGTCAGTACCCTTGACACAAGCAGAACTCAATGACCTGACACAAGACCTGAACCTTTCAAAAGAGTCTGTTCAGCTGCTGAGTTCACGCCTCAAAGAGAAAGATCTGTTGGCACCAGGAACAATGTTCTACTGGTATTGAGACCATGAGAGAGAATTAAGACAGTTTTTCATGTTCCAGGATAAGTCGTCATTGGTTTATTGCAACAACATTTCTGTATTGATCAAATCAATGAGCTTAGAGTATGATGCTACAGAATGGAGACTTTTTATTGACTCCTCCAGTAAAAGTCTCAAAGCAGTTCTACATAATGGGAATAGTTTGTTCATCTATCCCTATTTGGCATTCAGTACAAATGAAAGAAACAACAACATGGATCATTTGTTGTCTGCTGTTAACTATCAGAAGAACAAATGGTTGATCTGTGGAGATCTTAACGTGGTTAGACTGGTCCTAGGGTTCCAAGGTAGTTACACAAAATATCCTTGGTTTTCAGTCTCTCTGGGACGGCCAGGCTGATGACGAACTAAAACCTCGCTTGCATAACGTTCAGTTTCACCCTTTTGTTGAACTGAACAAAATACTGCTTCTATCTTTACATATCAAGTTCGGGGTAATGAAGAACTTTGTGAAGGCAATGGACAAGGAAGGCAGCAGGTTTGCTTTCCTCCAGGAGAAGTTCCCACAGATAAGCATGAAGAAACTCAAGGCTGGTATATTTGACAGCCCTCAAATAAGAAGGACCCAATGTTTGACAAAGCACTGAGTGAAGCTGAACTGTTCGCCTGGAAGTCACAGAAGTCAGGTACTTACAAACTTCCTGGGAAACTACTGGAGGTCGGAATATGGGAAGGAAATTGAAAAGCTGCTGAAGAGTTTCCACCAACTCGGGCCACGAATATTAGCCAAACTGCACTTTCTGCAGTCACACTTAGATTATTTTCCAAAGAACTGTGAGTGAAGAGCAGGGTGAGCACTTTCACCAAGACATTCACATTATGGAAGAGCGCTACCAAGGCCAGTGGGGTGTAAACTTTCTCGCTGATTACTGCCGCCAAGCGCAGGAGGAAGTCCCTGAAAAGACCTTTTCATTCATGAATAGCTTCTTTTGTGTATTTTTCAGTTTACTATAGCTCAATGTGAGCTTTCTGCAAATATATCAGCCCTAAATTTAGCATTATTTAAGTCAACAAGAAAATAAATAGTTATAATACTCTTCTATACATTTCAAGTAAGAGCTTGTATTTTAAAAATTTGATCTGATTAGTAAAAATGGGTATGAATTTTGGATTCAGCATAAAAAAAACTGCCTTAAAATCAGCTTTTATATAATCAACCTTGAAAACATCACAGGCCAGTGTTATATATTTAACCATAGAATAAATATATAAAGTGATCAGTAAGCATTTCAAAAATAGAGAAAATGGCATTCACACTCAGGGAATATTTGCAGGGCATTTGTTTACCAGTGCTTTGTGGGTGGAGGGTGCTTGTAGCCACATTGGAGATGGTAAAAAAAAAAACTTTAAAATAACAAATACTTCTCCCTTGTTTGATCTCTCTTTTTCCATCCTATGTCTGAATAAAGTGAAGCTTCTCAACCAGGGGTTTTTGTATTTTTTGTCTAACCATTAAGATAAAAAGACCACTAATTGTTGTAGACGACTCTTGTGTATTTTGAAATTGATGCATTTGCATGAAAACTCTCTGTTTTATGACAATAATAACAAGAGTTGAAGCTTTAATAAAATGTTAATAAATGATCCTTATTCAAAGCTGTTCTTTTCATTTCTCCTTCAAGACAAAAGTTTTGAATATGCCGCAGTTGCAAGGACGTTTGGATAAGATGTGGAATGCCCTCCAGATGCCAGAAGATCAGAAAATAGAAATGGCAATGAAATATGCCAAAAAGGAGAAATCAGAACAGTTGGAATCAGTAAGGATGATTTTTGTGAAATTATATGAAATATTGAACCTTGGAAATTTCATCGTAAGAATTCTTAAAACTGAAATGATTCCAATTGCAGAAAACATGCAAAAGACTTTCACAAGGATATGAATAAAATAACAAATAATTATGACAATTTGAAGGGTTTATTATGTTTTTTTTTTACCTAAAATTCGTTTTGGAACTCAATTCATATGATGTGAATTAAAAATCTGCAAAAAAGAAATTAATACAAGCATTAGGAAGAATAGGATTATTTACATTTGTAGGATTATTTAGGACTCAGATGAATGAGTTTCAGGTTATGAGTGAATAGGTAAGACTGACAGACAAAATATTCTACAGTATCTGTCTGTATTTCTGAGATGAGGTATTATATACACTATTTACATTATTCGGACTATTGTCCTCATCTTTGTTACCATATTTATTACGACGCTATTTCATTCATATCCTTATGAAAGTCTTTTGCAAGTTTTCTGCAATTGGAATCATTTCTACCCTTTTGGCATATAGCAGAAGATAAAGATTACTTTTTGAATTCTTGTAATGGAAATGCAGGTGACACCAATTCACTAGCAATGAGTAAAAATAATAAAAGACTTAGGGGTACAAAATGTGGTTATTATGATAGCAAAGTGGCCTTGTAAAAACTCATTTTCTACTAAAACACCAGCAACATCACTTGATATAGTTGCCACTTTTCTGCTCTACATGTAGTCTACAGAAATCAATAAAGCAGATCATTACAATATTGACTAAAGTATTTGCTACTTTATAGAAAAAATAAAGACCTACATCTTTGTTGAGATATGAAAATTTCTTTAAAATTTGTCTTTTTTTTTCTATGATGTTTTTTCTTGTTCTGTTATTACCCTCCCTCCCAACATCATCATCATCATAATAATAATGTCATAACTTGGTAAGGAGTCAGTAATAATAATGACAACACAGTTTAGTATGGTTACTTCTTTGCCAGCACACATAAAAATATGGCCAGCATGGTATTTTTGTGTCTGAACAATGGCTGAAATGGTGCTTCTGTTTACTTAGTTCCTGGTTCTTGTTACTACTACTACTACTACTAATACAACAACAACTGTTATTACTATTATTATTACTGTTGTGTGTATGTGTGTGCAAAAGTTCACCACAGTCTTTTCTTTGAAAAGTAGAAACTGAATACATAGAAAACATTTTTTTTAAAAAATGAGATTCTGGAATTGTTGCATACCATTAATAATAAACTAAATATGCATATAACATTAACTGCTCTCCATCATGATGACACCTGTTATATTTGCAAATGAAGGATAATATTTTTTATTTATTTCTTTTGTTTAATATTTCACTTGCAATGCAAATTTATTTTCAGTCATTGTCTGATTGGGAACAAGCTGCACAATTCATTATTGAAAGAGAATCAATCATGGCTTCCCTCCTAGTGTTTGAAAGTGAAGCCTCTGACCCAAACAGATTTTTTGTTCGAGGTAATATTTAAGTTTTCTGCTCTTCTTGTTAAGAATAGTAAATACAGGGAGTGATTCTATTTTGGCTTTTATTAATGATTTTCAAACTGTTAATATATTTTTCACAATCAAGAACAGCAGAAGATTCTTTTGAAACCAATCATAAAATATTGTGTACATTCTTTATAAAATGTTTGTCTTTCATTAATAAAACTGAATTTGAAATTTCAAAGAATTAAGAACAAAAGATTTCTAGGTGAACTTATTGTTAGTGATATAAGAATTTGCTTCTACTAATTTGCTGATTATAAGCAATTTTTCTGATTTGATGCAAAAAAATAAAATCTTTAGACAGAAATATAAATAATTTACAATATTCATCACCAGATCAGCTAACAAAGAATAATGCCAATCTCACAAGCTATTGTTTGTGAGTTGATTCTTCATTCAGTAGTCATAAATGTAGATTTAGGCAATGGTTAACTTTATTGAACAGATATCAAAGTTGTCACAATAATTTTAATCAGATGTTCTTTGATGTTTAGGACCTGGAAATGCAAACCTCAGATTGCAAGAAGCAAAAACTCGAAGTATGTTTTATCAGGTATGGATATTTTCTTCCTATAGAGAGAAAAATATATTTGTGCTGTATAAACAAAATTTGAAATAAAATGGAGAATCATATGAGGCTCTAAATATTGAAAATGCTAACACTCCATCCTACAAGATTCATGTTTGAGTAATTTTGTTTATCTCCCTGTTGAATGTCAATCAACTATATGTTTCCCAAGTAAAGAATTTCTGAAAGACTTTTATATCCCAAATTAAAGAATTATTTTTTTTAAATATTCTAATGGGAAAAATTCTGATCGGGTTTTTCATTCTCACTTTCCATAATAATGTAAGTAATAACTACTTTGGACATCACAGCTTGCATATATATTGGAGGAGGAGACATACACTTTCACTCTTACTGATTTCCATTGTCTGTGATGATGATGATAAGCATAGTGGTAAAGTGCTGTGAGAGTTAAATTCATGACAAGAAGCAAAAAGATGTCAACTAGAATTTCCCTTTCCTCATTTCATTTGCTATTTAAACTGCATGAAATGTCTTGAAGTAGAAATTACATTTACAGAAAAAGTGTCTGATGTCACTTTGCAATCTCCACTCTAAAATATAAATTAGTTTATACATTGTAAAAGATCACTAAAATGGATGTTTAGAACTTTTGATTCAAGGAGTGTAATAGTCATATTGAAATCCAATTAAACTGTTATTAAAAATTAAAATATTCTTTTAATGTGTGATTGACAAATGGCTATCACAACAAAAACAGTTGGAGTCACTTGCCTTTTTCTTCTTTTTTTAACTTGTTGATCATTTATTACTGTTATTTGGTGAGATTGCAAACTGGCTAAACATTTTACAAATATTTACAAATATAAGTTTCTATAAGTCAATATATTTCTATGAAACAAAATCAAAAAGATGTAAAGAATTAATTGCCATTTGTTTATATGGAAAATAATTTTAGTTTTCTTAAACATTTCCTTTTTAACATTTTCAAGAACATTCCTTATGAGAAATATTTCTGCTTATTGCTTTGTTCAATTTATTCTTTTAAAATCAAAAACACAAAGTTGTTCATGATTAAATACAGACTCCAAGTATTTTCCACCTTTTACAAAAGTTTGGCTTTGTTGAAGGTTATTATAAATGAATGGCATAGACACTATTTACATTATTCGTACGTTGTGATAAATATGGCAACAAAGATGAGGACAATAGTCCGAATAATGTAAATAGTGTACATAATACCTCATCTCAGAAATATAGACAGATACTAAATGGTATAGAGTTTGTACTAGCATCATTAATGAATCTGGGGGGGTTAAGGTGACGTGTAAAATTTGATTTAATTTGTTAAGAGTAAACATTATGTACATGAAGAATGGCAGCATACAAGATTAAAATTCCACCAGTCAAAATATTAAAACATGTCACATTTAAGTTTAGTAATTAAAATTATTTTTATTTTCATTTTTATCCCCAAAACAGTTCATTCTAGGCTTTGCTTATATTTTTGTTAATATTAACAACAGTAAATTTATTCTCCACTAGGTTCTTCCATTAGATTCGATGGATAAGTTTAATTTGGTAGCATTCAAGGATGAAGCTTGAAAACAGCGGATGGAGAATTTTCTTTCAATCTGAAATTATTGATTATTTTCATTTCTTCACTTGTCATCTATTTCTTTTTTTTTTATTGACAGAGAATTGAACAACTGGACAAGAAGCTATCAAAACAAATCAACATTATCCACAAAAAATATGGAGAAGTTGTTACATTTCAAGTAAGATGAACAACCAGTTTTTCTTTTTCTCCCGTTTACATTGGTGCTGTCCTCATTCTCGTCTAAAATCTTTTAATTTTAATTAAGCAATTTTGATTGTAGAACTAACAGGATTGGCTTATATGGCATTGGATTAATTTCAGCAAGAAGGAAATTTATTTAGTAAAATCCTCTTCACAGATGTGTTTTACAAGAACATTTGATAATTTATCCCAATTCCCGGGCAGCATTGGGTTTTTGGTGCTTAGCTTTCTACCATATTACTTATCCATTAGATGTAATATAATATTTACAAACATGGTTTGAAAAAATGTCTTAGAAGCTGGAAAATGTGTTTTGGTTGTACAACTTTTGAGGTTAGTTCAAAGTGTCTTGTTTTGTTTTTTTTTGTTTTTTAAAGCATTTCACCCCCAGCAAGGCTGGAAGCCACTAGCATGCAAGGGGTTACAGAGGATTTGGTGCGAGAGCAGATAGGAGTGATAGAGGAAAGGATGAGGAGAAGGATAGTGGATAGATCAAGGCAACTGAATATATATACAATGAACTAAATAAGAACAGAAATTCAAAGTGGAACACATTAAGAGAAGCTTTACGGACATTGGCACACAAGATTATTCCAAAGAAAAGTAAACAAGGATAAAATGAATGGATGATATATGAAATTTTCAATTGGATGAAAATGAGACAACAATGCCAAAGTATGACACAGAATATAGGACAATACTCAAAGAAATTAGGAAGAATGCAGGCAGGCAAAAAAGGAATAGCTCAGTAAAAAAAAAAAGTGTGCAGAAATATAAAGCAGATATGTATAAAAGAACTAAGAGAAGAAAAGACATGCCCATCAACAGAATGTAGAAAATTAAATGAGAGAATACTGATAATAGAGAAAAAATACTACAAAGATGAAATGAATACAATTAGTTATCGCTTCTATGACAAAGGAAAACCTGCAATCCACAAAAATATGGAAGGACCAGAAATATTAAATATGAAGTGAAATCAGCCATGGACTAAACTGAACAGAAACAAAACAGCAGGACCAGATAAAATTGTAAAAGGGATGTTGGCAGCTTTAGATGATTTCGGTATTGGCAAAATTACAGACATAATAAAAAAAAAATACATAACAGTGGTGATATAGTGGAAGATCTAAGTAGATTAATTTTCATAGAGCTGTCTAAGAAACTGGGTGTAAACAAATGCAAACTCCATTGGAAAATCGGCCTAATAAGCCACATAACAAAACTTATCATCTGAATTCTGATGAATAGAGTGTGCAGCAGAATTAAACTGGAAATAAGACAAAGGATATTGCAATTTCATTAAAGACACTAGAACAAGGAATGCAATATCAGAAAGTGTAATAAAAATGCAACTGGATGTTTTATAGATTATGAAAAAGCATTTGATAAAGTATGTCACAAAGAACTGTTTGAACTGCTAGGGAAGCTTCATTTATTTGGGAAGGATATTAGAATAATCTAAAACTTATACTGGGAGCAAACTACCTAAATATGGATAGAGAATGAATTCAGTAAATAAACAAAAACAGAAATGGACATAAGACAAGGATGTGTCTTCTCACCAGATATATTCAACCTTTACAATGAGGCAATCCTGAAAGAATTAGATGTCCTACCAGGATTCATTATTGGCAATCACAATGTTTACAACATTAGACCATGCAGTTGACAGCTGACATAGAAAGGAAACTATGGAAACTCCTACAGAAGGTATCAGATCATTGCAAAAGTTTGTACCTGATTTTCTTTGTTAACATAAAATGACTGCAACTTGACACTGGTATTTGTTTTGGTGCCAATTTCTGGGGTGTTCTAGATTGAAACTTTGCATTGCTCAGTTGCGAGTCAGATTTTGTTGAATGTTGACATTTTGTCCACAAATGAATGTCTTAAAGATAAAGGATGATAAGTTACACTTTCACTACATTATGCTCTATGAATTTCTGAAAGGAGTAAGCATTGAAACTGCGACAAAAAACATTCAGAAGGTTTATTTGGATCATGCTCCAGCTCTTCAGACAATCAGAAAGTGGTTTGGCAGATTTTGTCAGGATAATCTTAACCTAAACGATCAACCATGATCTGGACAGCCTTCAGACATGTATGAAGATGCTCTGCTTGTCATCGTGGGGAATAAACCAAATATTTCGACAGAAGAGATTGCTAAGAGTTTGAAAATTGATATATCAATTACAACTGCCTTTTGCTATTTGAAAAGACTTGGGTTCATTTCCAAACTTGACACATAGGTTCCATATTCTCTGATGGAACAGAACAAGCTCAATTGCGTTTCCTGCAGCAATTGATTTGCTGTTAAGCCATGAAAAGGAGCTGTTTTGGGACAGAATTATCATCGGCAATAAAAAATGAACTGTTTATGATAATGTTCAACACAAATGGAGCTGAAAACAAGCTTGTGAATGTGCAGAATCCATGGCCAAAGCAAGTTTGCATCCAATAAAGATGTTGCTGTCTGTTTCGTGCAAATACAGAGGGATAATTGTTTCCAGGTGACAAAACAATAACGGCAAAGAATGCAGCTAATTTTGGCAAATAAAAAAGGTGTCATTTTCTATCACGCTAGTGCAAGAACACGTTGCAAAACAGATGTTGTAGAAGCATAAGAGCTGAAATGGGAAACCCTCCCTGCACACACTGTATTCTCCTGACTTCTTTGGATTTTTGTTTGTTCTGGTCTCTACTGAACAAATGACAAAAAAACAGTCGAAAACTACCTCCCAACCTTCTTCCAACAAAAACAAAATTTCTACGAAAATGGCATGAACAAGCTTATAGAATAACAGGAGACAGTTGTTAAAAACAATGGGGACTATCTACTTAACGAATATATGTTTTTACGTATGTAAAATTTTGTTTTTGATTTTCTAATCGGGCACAAACTTTTGCAATAGTAAAAGAAAGTGAGAAGAAAGGACTAAACATTAATTTTAACAAGAATGTCTGGTTGTCAGCAAAGGAACAGATGCATACAAACTACAAAGTGGAGATACTAAAAATCAAGCGTTTTAACAGAGAACAGAAAACAGCATCGAAATCTGAAGGCACATTAGAATAGTAAAAGCCACCTTTCAAAAACTAAGCAAAGTATTAAGAAACAGGAAAATTTTGTTAGAAACAAAGTAAGGAGATATTTACACTATTTACATGCAGACTATTATCTTCATCTTTGTTGTTATCACGTTTCAGCTGTTGTGCCCTCAGGCCTTCCTTAGATGACATAGTAATTGTGAGTTTGATCCCTGGGCCTGGCAGTGTGTTACTTGAACTCCATGGAAACACAAACAATAACTGAACAGTACTAAAACTAAGAGCTAAATGTGTTATCCTCGGCATAAGGCAGTGGAACGAGGACAGTCTACTCTGTAGATTAAATAATGGGAATCGTTATACACTCAATGAAGGCTGAAGAGCACAAAGGTTGAAATGCAGTGATAACAACAAAGATGAAGACAATAGTCTACATGTAAATTGTACAAATACTAATGGTCCATACTTTTTCTCACTTAGTATTTTTACTTCTTCACTTAGAATTTTCTCAATACCTCGACTCACTAAATGACATTTCCTGCATTATTATGATTCAATCATGGCCATTGCCCTGTTATACAGGGATTAGGAGAGATAGCAAAAAGACAAATCTTACTAAGAGCTCCAACGGACAGGAAATTGTGGAGAACCATGATTGCCCATATTCTGAAGGAACATGGCACATAGAAGAAGAATTTTAAAATCTCCATTATTATAAGAAATAAACAATCATAAATTCTTTTACAGAACAATTTACATTTTGTAGTCAAGAATTGAACAAAAAATCATTATTGGTTCTCATTTAGGCATTTTTAAATAAAAAGTCATTTACAAAAATGAGTTTAGAGTGTGGGGCTTGTGTACTTGTCTATGAAAGTGAAAACTGATTAATTTCATTGAGAAGAGATTCCATGTGATTTTATTGTTTTTGTCTTCCTAAATTTTTTCTTTGAAGTTTTCAATGTTTTATCTAAAGATGGTCAATGCAGTTTCTAAAAAGTTTTTTTTTTCTTTTTAAAATACATGTCTATATACGTGGCTGTTTCTGTTTAGCCTAGATCTTGTAATCCATTAGGGTCATTGGGTGTACCACATTTACTGCAGCTATGAGTATGGCTAGAACAAAATTTTTATATTAATATCTTGTAGAAGTTACTGTGATCTTTCTGTTTTACAGGATCGACCTTACTTGGAAAAAATGAGATGGGATCGTGTTGAAATGTTGTACTGGTTGCAAGAAGTGAGAAAGTTGAATGCCCTTCACTATGAATCAAGGAGGCTTCGTATTCCACTACCAGAGATGAGTTTTAAAGAACTTTTACTATCAGGCAGTTTTTTTACCAAATGAAGTTGGTAATGTTCATAAATCAGGAATTTGCAGATAGAATCTCTTGAAATATGCAACAAATAAAAGAAATATTAACATTTTCCATTTTTGACATAAATTGACATTTATCAAGTGTGTCATCCTGATATATATACATTTCTTAGCCTCTCAACAAAAAAAAAAAAACACAATCTGACATTTGATCAGATTTTGTCACGGACTTTCTAGCATCCTTTTGTATCCCATTGTATAAGTAGACATGAGTCCATTCACCCATTACTTATGATCGAGAACATTAATGTTCCCAGTTACAATAAAGAAGACATTAATTTCATCCTGATATTTTTACATGTGTATTCAATGCAAGTGATGTTGCGTAGAACAGTTTGTAAAAGAAATACTTTTTAATTTGTTAAAGCAAAATTTAAACCTAATGCATATAATCATCAGTAATATTATAAAATGTCTTTAACTGAACTCTCTTGTAAATTATTTAACTTTTTTTTTTTAAGATCATTAACAGATTTTATTCAAAAATAAAATAAAAATGTCATTTAAAATTTGGGCAAAGTTTAACCTTTTTAGCACACCCACCCCAAAAAACAACAGTGTATCAAAGAGACGTTATTTTTTCTCTTGACATTGCTATTATGTATCTCTCAGTAATTTTTATTGTTTTAATAATACTATTTTTAAAATTTTAATAAAATCAATCATATGAAACTAGATTTATACATTCTCTTTTTTTTTCCTTAAGAAAAGACAACAAAAATATTCAACTCATTTACAGTGGATACATATATTAAACTTTGTCCAGATTTGTATTTGTGTACACTTTAATTAGAAACAAATTTATTTGCAATCCCATGCAACAATCACAGAGCTTCATGAACCCAACAAATGTCAAAGAAAAATTCAACAAAAACAAGCTTTTAACAACAAAAAAAAACCCTGATTTATTGCAATTCCTGAACCAATCAGGTTAAATAAAATTGATATATGGAGTCTCTTTGTCAGATGCTGGAAGTAGATATGGCCGTAGTGTACAGTCACGTTCGCATGGCTGATTGATGAAAAATTTTATCACTTGCTTCAATACATTTTCATTAAAATCAACCAATTGGCCATCTTGAATATCTTCAAAGAGTTTCATATTTTCTTGGTGCCAACACAAATTCCTGAGAGGATTAGCATCATCATCTTTCCATAGTTCTAGTGTATTTAATTGATAAGCAAAGAAAGAATAAAACTGGCCATCTGTGATGATCATTTGACCGCTAAGTGGATATGTCAGTCCTGTATAAGTGTTAAAACCTGAAACAGAAATACAGATTGTCTAAGAATATTAACACAAACAGATTTAACCCATTAATGTCCACTCTTAAAATCCAGCATTAATGATGCAAATTAAAATATAGTATTATAGGTTTCTATCTATTAATCTGCTTAATCCATTAATACCATCTGATTTTTGGTACAAATGGATTAAGAATGAAGATAAAGAAGTGACAATTTTTTTTTTAATGTAGAAAACTTAATTCATGTAACAGGGAAAAAGACTTGGTTTCCTTTCTAAGTATGTCTTAGAAAGAAGAACAAAATCTTTTTTATTTACTGTGTTAAATCAATCTGTCTTAGATTTGATGTGGGCACATGACTAAGTGGTTAGAATGTTCGCTTTCAGACAATGATCCAGGTTCAAATCTCATCATAGTCTATTTGTCCGGAAGGTGACCTTGATGTTATCGGCCTGGGGACATAATCCCATGGGGCGACACCTTTGGAAACATTCCTGAAACCATAAGATTGACCCAAGCCTTGGGAGTGAAATTGGGTAGACAGAACTATTTGGGAGCTCTAATTGGTTGTGCTAGTCATCGTAACTATGAGGGTTTTTGTTCAGACTGTTGATCACGCCAGATAATATGTGCTCTCTCCCAGAAACTGTAACTAAGATCTGCTCAGCATAGTTACAGCATAAACTACAGGTAGGCTCTGTAGGTGTTGAATAAACACAAAGTTGCCTGAGCAGGCGTCTGTAATAGGGATTAGCTAGACGCCCTACTAAACAAGCATACTTAGATACAAACGACAAGCCACTACCACTTAAATTTGACACCAAGCCACAAGTACATGGCACCTGGTGAAATTCATATTTACTATTTGATAGTCATGATCTGTGTAAACCAGTTTGTTAAACCATTACACCATGAAAAGCTTCTATGTTTTGTGTGTGTGTGTGTGTGTGTCGAGAGAGAAAATGCAAGATTTCTGAATACAACATTTAAAGAAGATCAAATTTTATTTTTTAAAGTCAGTAAAAAAATTTATAGTCAAAACTTACACTTGACTTGGTTTATTGATTTAATATTCTAAGTTGCTATCAACTGAATGCATCCATACATGGTATGACAATTTAATTCTTGGAGTGATCCTGTGAAATCAATATTTTCTTACCTAGTCACTATTGCTGTTGTTACCTTCAAAGTCACACCTTGGTTTCGTGTCCCTTGTGAAGTGATACTTTTTGTTTCCAGAAATAGCACCATTGTCTCAAATTCTTGGAACTAGTTTGCTGGAATACTTTTCAGTATATTGTCACATGTTGATGGATGCCAGAGATGTCAGCAAATCTTTGTCCTTTCATGACATTTTTAAATTTTGGAAAACAGTCAAAAATCATAAGATGCCAAGTCTGGTGAATAAGGTGGATGGTTGATTTTATAAAGGATTTCTTAGCCAGCAACTCACAAATTCCTAATGCAATCATCTGTAGGAGCATTGCCATGGTGGGAATCCACTTGTCGGGTCAAAGTTTAAATTTTTTCCTCCAGGTAAATTCTCATCCAAATAAATATTTTCATTGACAGTTTGTCCTTGTGTTAAGAATTTGTTGTAAACTGTCTGCTTCTAACTAAAGAAGCTCACACACATGATCTTGAACTGTGTGTGAGACATTTGATTTTTTTTTTTGCTTTTTTACTTAGGTTGATTCTTTGTGTTCCACTACATGCTCAAGTATTTTGTTTCCGAGTGGTATTGAGGATACCACTGGCAATGACCTTGTCAATTATCTTTGCATTAATTCAAAAGATCAGATGAAAGGTGAAGCTGACACTGTTTTCTGCTCATCAGTCAATATTCAAGGCAGACTCTTTGAGAAAAGTTTTCTCATATGCATATCCTGATAGAATCTACTATACCAAATATTCACTTCTATCGGTTTCACACTTAATCTTCGATCTGAGTGCACCAAGGTTCACACACTTCCAACATTTGCATCTGTTCATGTTTTTAGCTACCCACTTTTTGCATCGTTGTGCACATTTTTTCACTCTATAGAGGATTGCTTGTGCCACTCAAAAATTCTTCATAGCATGCTCCTCCCCAAAAGCCATTTTAACAGGGTTAAAGTTTCACTAGCATCTTTACCAATCTTCTTACAAAACTTGATGTTAATCCACTCCTTCAGATTCCTTTCACTCGTTTACTGCCAACAGTACAACATGAACACATGCAACTTCCTCTACTGCTCAACCATGAATGATTCCTCTGGTCTGCACTAAAGAAAGTGAAAATTGCAACATCTCCAGATATACCCCAGTGCCAATATTTGCCAGACTTGTTACCCTGGCAACATGCTGCAATCATTCCAAGAATTAAATTGTCACAGCTTGTACATACATAACTGACAACCTTGTGCTACACTAACCACAGATTATGGCCTTGTGCCAGGCTAAACCAAATATTTATACATACCCAGGTAGTAGGCTTGTGCAACTGTCCATGCAAACAATGTGATTAACCCCATACCAGTTTGCATTTCAGCAGCAACTTCCTTGCCATATTTGGTTGCACAACGATGCAATTTATTTGGACTATCAAATGCAATCAAACCAAACTCACAAGGGTCACCATGAAAGTAACCTAAAAGAAGAAAAGACAAAATCAGAATTATGAATGAGGTATAGTGGTCAAGAAAGTAAAAAGATGATCAATGTTTCAAACTTCATTTTAGTCGCTGTAAAAAAAAAAAAAAAAAAATATATATATATATATATAGCCTCTTTCTCTTTCCTTATGGATTCTAACCTGAAGGCTGGAGAATGAATCACCCAAAACACTGATAACTCCACAAAGCAGTTGTAATGTTAATGACTTTTCTTACATTTAGACATTCATTAAAAACAAAATCAAACACTAAGCAAGGTTGATTTTCTCAAAGATTTCACAGAAGTAACTTTGTCAGTCTCAATGATCTCTTGTAAATAAACAATGTGTATTTTCATGGGATTAAGCAAATTGGATCTGATGTTTTGAAAGAATGGGTGGTAAAAGAAAAAAATCATGTCCTATCAGAAATGCAGACAAAATGACAGTCTGTGTTGAGAAAAAAAATGTTTGACTGAAAGAAAGCACTGTTGTAAATAAGTTCTTTCCTACTAATTAAAAACAAAAAAAAAAAAATAATACCAGAGGTATAACATTGGAAAATACAGACTACTATTTTGCCTTTTCAAGTTAACTCTCACCACTTAACATCTTGAGATTGTCATTTGGTCAATTAATCAAATCTCACCATTGCAGTTTTATTTTGTGAACAGAAAGTTGTGATTACAAGAGGACATAGATGAGATGAGGATTGTGTATTTTCTTTTGGTTTTCTCGCATTGTGATGGAATGCCTACTGGGGTAATTGGAGTTAGTTATGGCCCCAAACCATGGCTAGTTCAAGAGTCAACAACTGATTTGTTGATAGCACAACTTGTTTTTGTATCTATACAAAATTCTAATAGAAAAAAAAATCAAGCATAGAAACAGTTGGAAACATGGTAACACACGTGTATCTAAAGAGAAAGTAAAAAATGTTTACAAAGATTTGGGCTGAATAAAGAATAAGTCATATTGAAAATTTTTCCCAATATAATATCAAGAAATTAATCTTTGTTACTTGCAAGCATGGCCAAATTTCAAAATCTTGTTTGTTGCTTTAAAATAGCTATTTAGGAACTCATATCAAG